ATTTGATTGGCTCATCTTCTTGCTTGGATCATGGAGGTTTCACTTGACTGACACCGAATAATCTCCCCTGTTCTGTTGATAGATCGGTATGTTGTGTAGCTTAGTAGCTTTTTCCCTCAACAGGCAGTGCCCCAAGCATCAAGAGGGAGATCGAGCTGTTTATTATCTCACTACTTTGTTTGAAACCGTTTTTTACAAAAAGTTTGTTTATTGTTTACCTAAAATTACTCGAATGAAAGTGGCTTTTAATTGTTCTTGGAAACAAAATTGTTTCTGTTCATGGTTTAGAAAGTTAAGTTTTCAAAACCATTTTTCTAAACCTTTCCGTATGTCAATAAAATTAAATTTGTTCATCGTTCACTATGAAACCACACAAAGCACACATTTGGGAGAAGTTTTATTGTTAAAAGTTTCAATTATAAATAGTATATCATTTCCTTTTTTAGATATTATTTGCCTGATATAGCAAAACTTTCAATGACAATTCTCCTTTTGCAGGGCTGGTTGAAGCTTTGTAATGTGTATACATGGAGAAAAGGTCGTTTATGGGAAAAGAGCCCCCCTGTCTTTCTGAGTTGGCCTCACCGAAGCTTTGTTGCATGTGACTGTCATGACAATCTCTTTCCATTCTGAATTCTTTATCAAAACTTGAAATGGACTTGCTTAAAACTCCTCCTCACCGGATTATATTTTAACTAGTTGAAGTAATAGTTTAATCTCAACTCCCAAATTAAGATACGAACTTTATCAATTCCAGCAGATAAAAAGAAAAAAAAAATTGGTCGTTGCTCTAATGTTTATGCCTTATATTCAATCATTGCATTATATTCTTAAATTTTTTAACTTTGTATTTATTTATTTCTTGGATTTTATATCTATGAAATTTAGATTATTATCTATGGGTTTTTTACCGTGTACATATGGGATGAAATTGACTAATTAAGTTTGCATTCCATTCCTTTGTCAACGTAAGTATAGTTCAATAGTAATTGACATATGTTCAATTTCTTGAGATCGAAGGTTTAAATTTTCATATACGACTTATTAAATATAAAAATAAAACAATAAAAAAATGTCATCATTCCTCCCAAATTATTTCTTAATTATTTTCTTGACAACAACGTTGAGTAATACCCGTTGACTTGACGCAAGAACATGCTAGTTCTAAGGAAGAATTAGTGGAATAGTGGCTAACTTGTGCTATGGATAATTATGTCCTCTCCTACTTCATAAATGTGGTTTTATTAGTTTAAAATAAGCTCTATTTTATAAACATATTATTTATTAATTAATTTGTTTAAAATATCTAATATAATTTATTTACTCCACCGATAAATTATTGTCATAAAGATGAAATATGCATGAAAAAGAAGGATAGACATAATTTATTACAAACAGGTAAAATCGATGTTGATTTTTCATTGAACTAATAAGAAGCGCTTTTTTTAAAATAAGATTTGCCCAAAGTATAGAGGAAATTAGAGAACTTAGAGAAATTTATTTAGGTTAAAATTTTGAGTGATTAAAATTTGTAAAAGATTTGATTCCACATTTTGTGGTAATTGTTTTTCTTTTTAAAAAGAAATAATAACAAAAATGCTTATTTTGAATTTCATTAAAAAATATCACATCATTCAATAAAGGAAAAAACTTTTACCAAAAGCAAAAGATAAAAAAAAAAAGAATAAAAAGTTGTGATTATTGATGAATGATATTTTTCAAATGGGACCTTCTTCGTTGGTTGATACGTAATCACACGCACCTCAAAAGCGATGGATTCTTTTCGACTAAAATTATAACGGTCCAAGTTCACCGCTAGTAGGTATTGTCATCTTTGACTTTTCTTGCTTCTCCTCAAAAATTTTAAAAAAATGCGTCGGTTAGGGAGAAGAAGTTTCTGTACCCTTATCAAGAATGTTTCGTTCTCTCCAACTGATTGGGATCTCACTCTCACAAAAAGGTTCTTCAACATCCACCAATAATGAACTAATTTTGGTCTTTTTCTAAAACAAAAGCTGTAAATAAACTCAGGTTCATGAAATAAGAGGAAGCAAAACTTTTGACCAAGTACTGTTGCTAGATTATCTAGATATCCATGCTGGATTTGAATGAAAAAAACAAGACTAATACAAGATAGAACATCTGCCAAGAACTTACAGTCTTTGCTCCTCGAACACTGCTGCACTTCTTAATGGTTTCTGGATCTTGGGCATGAGGGGATTACTCAGTCCAGCTTCACAGAAGAGAACAAGTAATGCACGAACCAGAACGACGAGAGGAATCCAACCGTTCCAGTTGTGAACATGATTGCAAGAACCATGAAGAGTGAATAACCAAGGTAGAGAGTGGCTGAGACGGGTCCACTCAAGCTCTTGAGATCGAAGATGAGATAGTTAATCGAGTACAAGAAGATGTATAAGGCAACTGAACCAGAAGCAAAGAAAGACTTCCACCACCATTTCCAGTCTTCAACGCATAGATGCATATAGGTTAGAACCAGAGATACCTCAGCACAAACGACAACAAGAAGCACAAGCACTATGAAGAGAAACCCGAAAACGTAATAGACACGACCCATCCAGAGGCTAGACATGATAAAGAAGAGTTCGATGAACAAGGTGCCGAAAGGAAGTGTGCCAGCGCCTAGGACTAAAAGCCATGATGGGTATTTCTGGGGAGGAATTTCCCGTGGGATTTGGTTGGTTCTAACAGGATACTCAATGTGAGGTGCCTTGGCACCAAAATACCCACCAACAAGAGTAAGAGGGACTGATATACAGAACCACAGCAAAAGTAGGATAACGAAGAGCGAAAATGGAATCGCTCCAGTGCTTTGACTACCCCATAATAGAAAATTCAGAATGGTAAGAATTAGAAAGGCAATGCCTGGGAAGAAACAAGCAGCCTTCCATGAGACTGAAACCCATCCTCTGTGGTCACCACAACAGATAGTTCTCCAAAGACGTACAGCGACATAACCTGCTGCAACACCGAGAATCATATAGAAAAATAGCATACCTGTAATAAGCGTTCCACGGGATGCTGGGGACATGAACCCAAGAGCAGCAAACAATATGGTCACAATTCCCATTCCTAGAAGCTGAACCCCATCACCAACCATTATACACAAAAGTGCAGGATTGGCTGGAGCACGGAAAACATCCCCCACAACAAGCTTCCAACCAGATAACTCTTCGTTCATCTGCGCTTGAGCCTCCTTGTCAAGCTCCTCATAACGTGTAAGATCTCGTCTAACAGTCCTCAAGAAAATTACAAGAACAATACCAGCGAGAAACGTTATCACCATTAAAGAGTTCAAGATTGAAAACCAATGAACTTTTGAACCCTCCATCTTCAAATACGCATCCCATCGAGATGGCCACTTGATGTCACTCTCTTCAAACGTAACCTCATACGTAAACACTATAGATTGGCCTTTCTTAATTTGCATTGATACACTAGCAGGGTCACATGGAACAGGATTTGGATACTTTTCATACATCTTTAAGTTCTTAACTAAGTCCACATTGTGCAAAGGGCTGCAGGGTACAACCTCAAATCCAACAACCATATATCCTGGAACATCTAGTTCCTGTTTACTGACTGTTGGGATCACACCTGCAGCATCACCAGTTCCCATTATGCTCGCAACGTTCGTCTCCTCGTATTTGTGAACAAGAACCTTAAATTTCAAATGGTTAAAGACATAATAGGAGCCCTTGAGATTGATTCCTACAGGGTATCCTGTCCAACGCAATGGATATCCTTCTTTCTTGGTATACCGGATTGCCGGTAAATTGTCCAGGATCAAGTTCACCTGATACATCTCATCAATCCTCTCCTTTAAGATCTTAAACTGATCATCAGTCAATGGATCTGTCTGGCACAAGAACACATCTGTCTGATTCTTATACATCTTAAACAGATACGGCGAATTCTCAATCCGATCCCCCATAAGAACCTCACCAAGATTTTCAGCACTATCCTTAACGCCCCCTTGAGGTTTGCAAAAAGGCAAACTATAATAGCTAAATGGCATTTCAGTATCGATCGAGGTTATGGAATTAACCTTCACCGACAATTCATCGCCCACAACATGTTTGAGAGGGTAACTCCCCGGAAGATAAAACCCATATCCAGATTGAAAAATCAAGCACACGGTTAAAACCCAGACCCTAAATCCACCCCAAAACTCCATTGTTGAAGAGTACGAGCTCGATTAGAGTCAGATCTAGAAGAATCACATCAAAAAGTAGATAAAAGAACAGTAAAATAAATTATGCCAACTCTTAATTTCACCGAAAACCAAACAAGGAAATTCACGTAACATATAATTTCCAACATGAAATAAGAGAATAAGAGATGAAAATCCAGGAACGAACGAAATAACGAACTTCACTGACCTGAGACATAGAAAACTGGAAGGACGATCTCCGGCGTAGGAAGGAAATTCGCGGCTGTAGCTGCCTATACCACGAGTTCTCAAATCGAGAAATAGTTGACAATTCAGTATTGCAATGCGAGAAGGATTTGGATCTTTCCCGGCGTGTTTATGCAACGGTGACTGGTGAGGGCGAAGTCTAGAAGTCGTGGCCAATCTCTCCAAATGACCATTATGTCCCCTCCAAATTCCAAAACCCCTACTTGTAGCTCATTAGTAATATTCACTTTTCATCCTTCATGTTACTTTCAATAAATTAAATAAATATAATTATGTGTGAATCATTTAAATAATTTTTATATTAATGAAGACGAATTTAATTACGTTTTATTTAAATTAATTGATAAACCCGAGTGATTTAGATGTGAACGAAAATATGAAATCACTCTGCTTTATCTTCTTTAACTTAACCAAAGTAATTTTTGGCATTATAATTAACAGTTGAATTATGTTCAAATTGGTTGAATTTGTTACTATATATATATATACACTTACATCATCTGATATTTTAGAAACGGGGAGGATTCCCATTTCTACCCCGTTTCTAGGTATATTTCCATCAACAATTACTTGAAGCTAAAGGAACAGAAAACCTTGTAGAAAAGGCAATTGGCGGATGATGATCGTCGTCTTCCCCATCGAAACCGTGGTTGAAATTGAGAGCATAGCTTTCAGGGTCATACTGAAACCTGTTTTTCCTCTGTTTTTTCCTCTTAAGAAAGCCACCCATTTTTCTGATGAAGTTCTTCCATCTGGGTCCACCCACCATTTCTGAAACCTCCTTCAGCTTCTTCCATTTCCTCACCATCCCACCCCGTTGCTGCTGCAGAAGACTTCTACCTTCGTAATTACCGTTCCGATTGAACCCGAACCTGAACCCGAATAGCCGAAAACAGCCGCCACACCCATTTGAGGGAATGGCCTCGTCAATGTCCTGACGGTCATCCTGTTCCCGTGGTCTGGTTGGATGGGTCGCCATGGAAGAGAGAGGGCAGAGGTTCTAAGTAAAGTGGGATTGTGGGGATGGAGAGCTCTGTTCGGATATGGGGTTTGAGGAAGCCATTGAAGGACAATGGGTCCTTCGTTCCATTTTGATTCTCCTCTGTGTTTGCCATTGAATGCGTCTAAAGCTGGGTTTATATGACGTCGACGGAAAGTTTGCCAAAACCCCATTTCCCAAGTTTTGTAATTTCCCTCCAAATAAAATATTAAAAAAAAAAACATATTTTCATAGATAAGACCGTCCTCTCCCTTATCTAATGTCGATGCATTTAATTAATTTCTAATACAAAAATATAAAGATTTGAATCAACTGTTTCAAAAGCACTTTAAGCAACTGTTTCAAACGGACAGGGCACTACCTTGGTGTGGTTGTAAACACTATGAATCAAAAACTTGTCAACAAAGAAGCTATCTTAAAGGGCACAACACGCCGCCGCCCTACCGGCGAGACCTAGGAAGGCAACCTGATTGGGAGTCAAAGAATCCATAGTACCCAAAACCCACTGGACTCGGACACAACAACCCAACCTAATAATAGAAGATAAATAATAAAATTTAATAAATATGTCCTTGCTATTCTAGATTATAGAAGAAAGAAAAAACATGGCGTGGGACACATCATGTCCCTACCTATTCTCATTTTCATATTCATAATCTATCATTTCAAAAGAGAAAAGGCCGGCAACAATTTGTTGTCCAAGCGTCAACTGGATGAACTGCCAAAAGGGAGAGCCAATTTCAGAGCAATTCTGTCAACCATATCACTGCCAAGTGCCACACACATATCAACATGTTTGGAACAAGTACAAACATATCTTTAAGATCCCGACTGACTGTTTCTTATAGTTCTTTGGTTCAGGGTTAGGAAAAGAACAAGGCTGAGCAGAAAGAAGTGGGTTGTTTAGAGGAGAGAGCAATGATTTTATGAAGAAAAACAGAAACAAAACAAAAAAGAAAAAAATACACTACTACCATGGTCTGCTACCTCCACCAAATTTGGATCCTATCAGCTGCCAGGTTTAGTAACGCCTATGGTCGGATTACCTTTGCTTCCCACTCATCAAAGGAGAGAAAAACAATGTCAAACAAATTTGGGAGACGAAAAATGCTAACAAATTAGGCATAATCTAAGCAGCTGCTAACTGAAAGGGGGATATGCATCCATCGCTTAACTACTATGACCTATCTCTCTCTCTTTGTTAGTAGTAAAAAAAAAAAAAAAACCATCCAGTTTCTACCCAATCCCAAAACTAGAGAAACGTACTTCTATTTCGCGATTCTGAAACATAGGCAAAGAGGAAGGGGCCACGAGAGAAGCAAAGTGTCACACCAGAACATGGAGATGAAGTTGGGTGAAGAGAGCTACTGCTGCTGATTGGGTACTTTCGGGGGAACCTTTGCAGCCATGGAGCGCAATTCATGTGCAATTTCAGTGAAGCTTGGCCTCTCTGATGGTTCTGATGACCAGCATCTCTCCATCAGTGACCTCCATTCTGGATCACAAGACTCTGGTACTTCCGGGCGCAATGTGTTGCTTACTATGCCACCTGAATTTTCGATTCAGAAAAATTTCAATGATTTTTTTTTTTTTTTTTTTTGTTCAACATGATCGAATGTATTTATCTTAACTCAATGCTTAGGTTGGTAAATTTTTTACTATAATAAAATAAAAGGCTAACAGAATTATATGATATGAGATGACATGAGAGGCAGATATCAAGGATTTACCTATGATAACCCCATAATGCAAATTTGCATAAGGTTCTTCTCCAGTGAGAAGCTCCCACAAGACGATACCAAAGGAAAACACGTCAACCTATGAAGACAAGTATCGAATCATCTATCTAATTTCACACGTAATACAAGGGAAAACTACTGCAAGGAGTGACATGAATGTATTAGCATACCTTCTCTGACACCATATTGCTGCTCCCATTCAAAAGCTCGGGTGCCATCCACGGAAGTGTTCCCCGCACACCACCTGATATCAATGTCTGACGTTTCACCTTGGATAGGCCCAAGTCACCAACCTTGAGGCACAAATAGCAGCATAAGCCCAGCTCTTCAAACATTTTATATTTAAAATTCAAACTGGTACTTTTCTTGGAAGGAGAAACAAAACATTTTGGGCAATGAGAATCTGCTATTATCCGCAAAACAACAAACCTTGCATATTGGGCGATGAGGATCTCGAAGGTTAACGAGCAGATTATCACTTTTTAAATCAAAGTGCACTATATTCTTTCTGTGCAGGTATTCCATACCAAAAGCCACATCCATAGCAATCAAGAGGCGCTTACGCTTGTCAAGACTCCTGCATCAATGGTATTTTACGACTTAATCTGAGGTGCAGATACGTTGTACTACAACTAATTTCAAACAAATTAAATATATGAAAGGTGAAAACAATTGTTACTTTTCATTCTTCAACAAAGCATTTCTGAGCGAGCCATTAACCATATATTCTGTTACTGTTGCCACAGAGCCGCCAGGACCATCAAGCACAATACCATAAAAAGCAACCACATTTGGGTGGTGCAAATCAGCAAGCTTATTTGCTTCATTCCAAAAATCTTCCCTCTGGTACAAAACAAAAAAATTATACGGGACTTGATTAAAGAAACCAAAAACCAACATGAGTAACAAAAGAAAAGAAAAGCCAATTACTTAAAAAACAACCATGCGATCTTGTTCAGAAGGCTTCCCAGCAAAACACCTATCATTGATTCGTTTGATAGCAACATCAGTCCCTCTCCATTTTCCATGATAAACAGTGCCAAAGGTGCCAGACCCCAATTCTCTTAGTTCTTCAAGGTCACTATTCTTTATTACCTGAAAAAAAAATGCCAAGATTACAGGAAAGTTTAACACGTAAGGAACATCCTTAAGGTTGAAAATGGAAACCATGTATTACCTGCAAGTGGCCAAAGCCTTCTGACATTGGAAAACCGAGATTTGATTTTTCTGAATGTCTTGTCCTGACATCCTGGGCAAACAGGGAAAAAGAATCACTATGACAGAAGATATGACATATCAAGTTTGTGCCACTAGAATAGCTAAACTCAATATTAGATTTAGTCTGCGAGCCCACATCATTTTTTTGAACATCTCCTTCTGTGCTAATCTCACAAACTGAATCACTTTTTTCATGCAAGTCGGAGTTGGAGGATTGAGCTGACTGAAGAACAGAAGCAGCTACACCCTCAGCAACAGCTTGAAGATCTTTCTTAATTTGTTCCTCTGAAGAGCCTACTTGAAATTATATGAAAGTAATCACACCCACAGATATGAAAATAAGAAGATAATCGATATAAATGCACTAAAAACTACAAAGACTTTTGTCAGACTGGACAGTCGAGAAATTGGTACCCTTGTTTGACTTAACCAATGGGTGACAGACTCCATCATCCAGAAATGCTTCCATTTTTAGTTCACCAATATTCCTGAAAGGACTCTCTGTCAAGGGTTCCCTGGTGGTAACAGCCTCATTCCTTGGTTGAATTTTATTTGGTCTAGGAGGCAAAAGATGATCATCGTGCTGTAAGTTCCAAGGATCCTGATTGCTGAAGAGTGAATTTGCAGTGTCCTGCACATTTCCAGTCCTGGTAGGCAAAGATTCAGATTCAACATCACCAGATACCATCCTAGATTCAAATAGATAAGTGTCCTCCTTCCAATCAGCAGAAACTGGGACTTGATTATTCGTATGTTCAGTCTTCGTGTCAAATAACTGGGGATTTCTGCTAAGACATACTTTATTGGATTCTAACTGTTGTATCCCATTTTCTGACTGTGTTAATGTTCCGGGATAGCCCCCAACAGGAGGTTGTGCCACTTCACTGGACTCAATAGGTCGTTCACTCATCAAATAGGGAACCTCTGATGAAGAGCAAGCAAAAGTAGTTGGTTTCACATGATTTGTGTCGAGAACCACTATTGGCTTTACAGAGTTGTTATCAAGTAGAACTTCTATCTCAGAGACTGGTTGTGAACAGCTACCAAAATTGTCCTCCTTCCTAGTTCTTTCAGTGGGTGATTTGCAGTGATCCAGATTAGGACAAATATCAGTTGGGCATATACTTAAACTTTCCAAATTTCCAACAATTGGTCTGAGATGGTCGTACCAAATTCCAGTGTGGGTAGCATTTTGATTTGGAATAATGCCATGAGGACTATTAGAATACACTTTCAGATTTTCATGACTGCTGTACTCTGAAGCATGGATAGGAGCACCTCCAAAGCAAATATTGTGCTTATCCACGACTAAATTTGGATGGAACTGATTCTCTACAGCTGTATACTGGTGCTGGAGAGTATCAACTTCGCCGGACTGAGGAATCTGTTCTACAACAGCAACATGGGGTGACGGAAAATCCCCTTGCGTCCCAAGAGCACCCTGTAGAGCTGAGGTCTTAGTATGATCAATATTAGGTCGATCTTTTAGTGTGTTGTCGTTCTCATGTTGACCTCCAATATGATGTGGGAAGCCAATAGCCTCCACTGAAGATTTTTCAACTTCTGGATCCATGGGATTAAATATCCTGGTTTGCATTCCAACACCATGTTCAATAGTTTGTTGCCCCAAAGCTCCAGTTTCTGCAATATTTTTCATTGGATGGACTGCTAAATGATCTTCAGGGTGATGACTGTAATACGAAAATTTTGAATCAGATACAGGGTTTGTCAAATTTTCTCTTTTATCCTGCAACGTTGAATTGGAATGAGCATGTGGCACTGCTTTCTGGCAGAGGTAACAGTCATCCAACCTCTTGATTTTCTCAGCAAAAGTTACCTGATGTTGGGATACCAATTCATCAGATATAACTGTCTGATCAGACCACGGTACCTGATGTAAACCAAATCCAACCTCCACTGATACTGGAGGAGCTGGAATCTGGCGTGAGCTGTAGCCATGTTCTGCAGATAGCTGGACAAACCTTGGACCGGATGTGCTTGCATTGGAAAAATATTCCGGTTGGGATTGTGGATATTGCACCAACGATTGATAGGTATTAGGCATAATACTGAGGTTAGAAGAGGGAGTCATCCTCATGTGAACTGCAGGGACAAACTGATGAGGGGCTATTCCAAGAGTATTTGGCGGTTGCATAAACATAGACCCAGATGTCCCTAGATGATGAGAATTTGAAAAGCCTAGTTGTGGACAAAATTGTATAAAGTCCACACATGCTGCTTGGCGAGGATCAACAGTAGGCTGCAATTGAGGCACAGGTGGAGGAAAGCCAATATCTGGTTGCTGTTGCATCAGAGTAGCAGGCACTGACCTTCCTAACTCCGCCTCTGGCTGGGAAGAACTTTCAGGAGGAACAGAGTTAATCACAGGAATACTTGATGGAACAGCCGAGGCATCAACAAAAACTGCAGAGACAGTATCCACATTCACTAATCTAGGGCCAATAGCACCTGAAGTACCTAAATTTCCTTCAGGTACGGACAATGTTGTGGATGGAGGCTCACCCACAACCCCTAGATCGTTATATGAGATATCCATTGCCTCGGTCGCACTTAAGTCAGAATTCTGAGTTGAGGTAGCACTTGTAAAGCTCTCTCTCCTTGTAATACGGCCACCAACGCCATCAAATATCGTATTCACTGTTTCAACATATCTCTGCCCACTATCGTGTACATCGCCAAATTGCACCATACCTGCAGAGTCAAGTTCTGAAGCAGAGAACAAAAACATCCTCAATTTAGCAGATCCATCTGAAGACCTCTCAACCAGCTTCTCATACTCGTCCATCATATTATCAAGATCATCAGGGCATGAAACAGATACTAAAGCGTCAAGATCCTCATCGGGGAGCTGATACTTTATAACCACAGCCTGCCCACAGGTATCAACCATCTTTTGCACAAACTCATTGAAAGTCACATCTCTTCTAACACTTATAATCCTTGTTTGACCTCCAATATATCTCAACATACCATCACTCGGTCTTGGAAAAATCTTACCACCGAAACTGCACATAAACTTAACTTTCTTTTTCGAAACGGAACTGTTTCCCCCCTCCTCTCTCACTTGATCAACCGCATTCCCACCAGCTGAATTCCCTAAGGGGGAGATAAATCCAGAGGTGCTATCACTACCGATATGATCACCGTTGGCAGCAACCTTATTGCATAAATTGGTACTATCCCCAGACCCCATTACGATATTATTGCTCGAAAATTCCATGCCACCTCCCCCATCTCGATGACTCAAATTTGTACTATGATTAATCCCAACTGTCATGCAACTGCTAGCAAACTCAATAGCATTGGCACCACCACGATTGCCCCAGGCATTCAGGTTCGAGCTGTAACCAAACCCTGCGGCAGGAACCATTGCAGTGTGCGTGAGAGGAGGAGGCATTCGAGGGCACCAAGCCGTAACACCAGTAACCACATTTCCATATCCTCCCTCGATAAATCCCATATCGGAGACATTTCCCTTGCAAGGAACGGGTACAGAGTCTGTGTTAGCAATGTCGCAGGGAAGCTTGGGGGCAACCCAATGGGGATTACGCCCAGAAGTAGCGACCGGCGTTAAATGGGGATCTTCAACTAAAGTTCTAGCTACATTTAAAGGCCGCAAGCCAGTGGGAATCGCGTTCTGATCAAATGCCATGAGTTTAGACCAATTACTAAGCCGCCTAAAATGTAAATTTCAATAGCCTGTCGAAAACTAGGGTTCCAAATATCGTTCGTCTCCCATACTAAATCCTCAAAACACCTTAAAAACTCAGATAAACCCTAGTAAGAAAGACAAAAACGGCTCTGTTTCCTCGGGCCAAGAGGAAATTACACTAACAAACAACTCACACGCCGAGATAGAGAGAGATAAAAGACAGAAAATCAGAATGGAACAATCCAGTCAGTCAGTGCTGCAAATAAAAACACTTCAGAAAGAAATTACGGTGAGAAGGATCTCGATTGAGCCGCAGTTGAGGGCTTCCGAAGTGTCTCCGTTGAGCTCCGAGTATTCCAGTTCTCTCTCTCCCTAATGCTCGCAGAGATTTCTATTCGACTGATTCCATGAATGGTCGCAAAATGCAGTAGCAGAGTCCAAAATCCGCTGGCTGGATTCTATTTTCTCGGGAAATACAGTTGAGTGAAAGAGACGAGAGGCAATCTTATGTGCTTCCAGGGTTGGGTGCGCTGTTTATATATGTGCCAAATTTGGCAAATTAATTACCCTCCTTTTTTGCCACGTAAGCAACGGATCATGGGGAACTGGCACGTGGACATCACATGCAATTTAAGCTCAACCACACCTCCTCGTCAAAAGAGGTTTAAAATGTCAATTGTCCATATCTCGTTATTTTTAAAAAATAATAAGTATTTTATACTTTTTTAAATGAGTTTAAAAAAACACTCACTAATAATAATATTACTTTTATTTTAATATTTTATTAAATTTTTATATTACAATAAAAATGTCCGTCGTTGATTTTAAAATGATCGATCAACACCTGATCAAATCAAAGTAGAGTCATGAATAACACATATGTTTTTTTTTTAACAAGTCAAACATATTTTCACCGGTAGTATTATATTTTAAAAATACTTATAAAATTTTAAATGTAAATTTTAAATGTAAATTTTAAATGTAATATTTTTATTGTTAATATGTAGACAAAAACCATCTATCGATACCTCATATATAATACGGTGATACAGCAAAAACAAACAAAACAAAATTATTATTGTGGGACCCTTCAACTTTTTTTAAACCATTCAAAAATATTTTCACAAAAAGGAATACTCTGTTTTAAAAATACCCATAAATTTTTAAAGGTAGCATTAAGAAATTTTAATATATAGATAAGAAGTAAATTATCTGCAAATATTGTAATATTATTTTAGAAAGTTTATGGGTATTTTTTTAAACGTTTTATTAATGATAAAATGTTTTTTTAGGATATTGACGAAAATTTAAAAAAATAAATATTAACAATTTTCGTCTAAAACTAACTATTTAAAAGTAATTTTTATATATTTTTTAAAACTTAATTGTCATTATTGAAATTTTATGGATATATTTTAGAGAAAATGCATTATTTTTCTAATTCTTATTTTATACGCCTGAATTAATTAATGTGAGATGTGACTATTCTAATGATAAAGTGACACATTTATTTGCATATAAGTGTAATTAAGGCGAAGAATATGAAATATCCCAATTTAATAGTTGATGCATTTTAAGGACAACATCATTTCACACAAGATCGATCAAACGATCATTTTTCATGATCGTGCATCTGAAAAGTATTCATAGAATTTCAACATTTAATTATTTTTTTCTAAATATTGTTTATAAGATCGATCATCTTTCCCGATCGTGCATTTGATATCATTTAGGTCAAGATGTACATTGAAAAAAGTGACATGTCTGTGTTTCACATAGTTGTGATCGAGACGGTAGATACAAATATCATAGTCTAATAGTCAAGAAAGTCACCTCGAATCGACTATTTAAAAAGTTGTAATTTTTCATTAGGTATAGAAATTATACTATTTAATTAGTTTGCAATTAATATTTTTTTTAAATAAAACTCATAACGTCCATTAAAATTTACACGTCAATGGATTATTATGTCTACAATAAATAATAGGTTAAAATATAAAAAATTAAAATACAATTTAATCTATATATTAGTCCTTATACTTTAAATAAATTTTAATTTTTAAAAAAATTAGCAAATTTTTTTAAATAATAATAATAATTTTGAGAGGAAAAAAAATAATTTTTAAAACTGATCCAAAAAGTAAATGATTAGATTACTCATAATTTGGTAGTTTCGAATGGATGGGTTTCTTTCCGGTGGGCCTAACTAACCCGACCCTGGTATTTCACGGCACCTTCGCGCCTCCTTCCGCGCACTTTCCTCCTCCTTCCAGTGCCGATGGAGTCAATGCAATCAAACTGTACTTAATCACTTCTCTCTCCGCCTTCTCAGCCAGAAAAGCCCTAGATCCGTGCAGAAATTTCAACTTTCAAGGTTTCCAAAGTTCCTCCAATGGCCGGAATGCTTCCTGGTGTAGAGTGTGCTCGAAGAAGACGATGTCATCAAAACAAAGTATGGTCAGATTCACCGCACATCGCCGCTCAAGCCTTAACCAGGAGATCTGTTCTCTGCTTGTACACCAGCAACCACGAAACGCTCCTCGCTTCAAATCCATCTCTGGTTCGTAAATCGCATCTCGTTCTGTCGATGAAATCATAGTGTATTGATTCAATTGATTCGATCTTAACTGATAATTTTGCAGGAAAGAAGCCTGTTAATCGAGGCGGATGAAGACGATAAACTGGTTGGAAGTGCGAGAGAGGCGAAGAGGAGATTGGACGAGCGATTGAGAACGCAGATGAAATCCAGGTACTGAAAACGATAGCAACATAGATCGTTTACCATTTCGTTTGATTTAATCTCAATCATAAAGATCGATTACTGGTTTTTCCATGGTTCGAAAGAATGAAATATTCATGATCTGATGCAGAAAGTTCAATTGGACAAAGTTCAATTGGACGGGCGTGGAGCAAGACAAGTGTGGCCAGTGCTGGTGAAGAAGACGACTTCATTTCAGTGGATCTGTTCTTCTTCTTCTTCTTCTTCTTCTTCTTCTTCCATGGTGCTTTGTTTTTTCTACCCCGATGCCGGTTCGGATTATGTATATTTCAAATTACATCTCATAAACACCGCTTAAAATTCATAAAAACTCAAACTGTTCATGTTTGGATTCATTAATTATTTATGAATCTATTAATTATCTATTTCTAACATCAATAATCGCTTTCGATCAATTAGCTATATTACAAATTGAAATTTGTGCTAGTTTTTACCAGATTCAAAGACAAGAATACTAAGCCCTACAGATATCTTATAACTATACCATATTTGTAATTCTCTTTCAACATTTTTGCCGAAAAAAATGACTACGTAAGGTTGAACACTTACTACCAAAAAATTAAGAGAGGTTCTACCATAAGTATTAACAAACCACAAGGAATCATACCGTAATGTATACCTATATATTTGTCTTTCACACCGTTCTTCATTCCTATAAACATCGAAGATCGAAGATCAATATGGCCACTCCAAACGATAATTATTAATCAAAATAGTTGAGAAATTAAAAGGAAAAAAAAGAGTCCTAATGTCTAATTTTCACAAGAATGAACATAAAATAGCTTCCTAGACAATGAATAAACATATAATTTTTATTATATATTCATTTTATAAATTAGCTGATGATTTAAAATGTTTAGAACTTAATAAAATGAAACATAATAATAATAATTAATTAGAAAATGCGTCAGATTTTGTCGTAGGATCACAAAAGCTACTTTAACTAAATTATATATATATATATATATATATAAAAGATATTATTTAAATTAATTAACTTATTAGTATAACTCGACTAATATAGTAAAAATTTAGAATTGGGAAAATTAATTTCGAACAAAATTACTAATTCATAAATGAAAATTGAATAAATGTAAAATTTAAATCTTTATTATTGAGATGATTTGAGGTGGAAAATCTTTATTTAATTTTATTATTGGGAAAAAATGTAAGATTTAAACCCTTGCAAACAAAAACCTCCCTTTTAACATAATTTTCAAATTGCTCCCTCAAACCATTCACAAATTTTCCAGAACCGCCGCCGCCGAGGTTCATTTTCTACCGTCGTCCACCGTCTCTCAGCCCAGTCCTGCGAATGTACTCAACCGCTTTCGTTTTCTTCATTTCAACTGTCTCATAGGTTTTTGTAACTTAGTTCCAGCGAAGATGCAACAATCTTCATCTCCACCTTGGTGATTTTGTATGCTAATCGGAGCTGCGAGAGGTTATCTTGTGCACTTTCACCGAAACCTGGTAAAGCTGATTGATTATAAATCTCATCAACTTCTTGACTCGCTTCTTTAATCATCATCGTACTTAATTTGATCAACTGAGCTTCCGTTTCATTTGTTCTCTTAAACCTATTTTCTTTCTCACACCACCGCCGTCCTGTGGAACACCCAATGGCAGTTCGGGATAATTTTTGTTCTGACTTTAGCGCCTAATCTTTGAAGTGGTTTTGGCTATTAGTGTTTAATTCTCTTGGGGAATGAGTTTCTTATGATTGATATGCTATGAATATATCATACACTGTAGTTTTCTGGTTTTAATTGAGTGCGTTTGGTTATTGCTGCTGAATCTTTTGGGGGAATGCATCCCTTCTGCCACCATTTTCTGTTCTGGGGTATTGTCATGTTCTTAATTATATATTACTCTTTTCGGTAAAGGTAAACTGTTAATTGAGATTGCGTTTATTAATGTTTCAGGGAACTTTTGGTAAGACATCTGCGGCGTCTACTTAACCGGCTATAGACTGTGTAGTGGCTAAAAGCAGTGGAGAGAAGGAAATATATCTGCAACGTTTTGTAGATTGTCCAATTGGTTGAAGCCTTTGCATTACTCCGCATTAGGATTTCGTTTTCTCCTCTCTAGACCACAGAAAGCCAATAACGATTCACTTCCATGAATTGTTTGTTGCTCGCTGTGAATAATCCCATCAAGCTCAGTAGATTAAAGCTCAAACTAGTCAAATTCGCCTCAACTGCAATTGCTCAACTAAACCCATGTTCCTTTTCACACAGTGATGATGAACAAAGCACCACCTTCTTCCACACAACTTTGCCTGTTCAATTTAACCCGTCAAAGGTGGTCCAAATACTAGGAAGTCTACGAAGGGAGCCCAAGATTGCCTTTTCCTTTTTCCGCGAATTGGAGGAACGGGGCTTTCAACATAACATCTCTACTTATGCAGCTCTTATTAGGATATTGTGCTCTTGGGGTTTGGAGAGAAAGCTTGAATCTCTGTTCTTAAATCTCATTGAGTCCAAGAAAATGGAATTTGATGTCTTAGATTTGCTTGAATCCCTTAATCAAGGGTATGCGGTGGGTGGCTCATTCACTCGAGCATATGATGCCTTAATCAAGGCTTATGTCAGTGTTAGCTTGTTTGATAGTGCTGTGGATTTACTTTTCCGGTCAGAACGGAAGGGATTTGTTCCACATATTTTTACTTGTAATTTTCTCTTGAACCGTCTTACCGAGCATGGGAAAATGAATATGGCTCTAGTTGTGTACAAGCAGTTGAAGAGGTTTGGTTTCCATCCTAATGATTATACTTATGCTATCGTAATAAAAGCACTTTGTAAAATGGGTAACATGGAAGAAGCTATATATATTTTTGAGGAGATGAGTGAAGCTGGGGTGGTTGCAAGTGCCTTTGCTTATACTGCATATATTGAAGGGTTGTGTACCCACCATTGTTCAGCTTCGGCGTATCAGTTGCTACAAGCATGGAGAGAAGCACAAGCCCCAATAGACGTGTATGCTTACTTTGTAGTAATTCGTGGATTTTGTGAAGAGATGAAAATAGACGAGGCAGAAAATGTCTTTCTTGAAATGGAACAATATGGAGTAGTTCCAGATGCACAAACTTATGGTGTGTTAATCAATGGTTATTGCAAGAAGTTGAAGTTGCAAAAAGCCTTGTCTCTTCACAGTCTCATGTTGTCAAAAGGTATAAAAACAAATTGTGTGATCGTCAGCTCTATCCTACAATGCTTGCTTAGGATGCAAATGTGTTCAGAAGTAGTGAACCAATTTAAAGTATTTCAGGGTAAAGGGGTGTTTTTCGACAAGGTTGCATACAATATTGTTGTTCATGCCTTATGTGAACAAGGAAAACTGGAAGAAGCTATGGAGTTGTTAGAAGATATGACAAGTAGACAGATCCAGATGGATGTCGTGCATTATACAACAATGATTAAAGGCTTTTTTGTCCAAGGAAAAATTCATGAAGCAATGGTAATGTTTGAAAATTTGAAGAAAAATGGTATTGAGCCTGACACCATCACTTATAATGTGCTTGCTGCTGGATTGTCTAGAAATGGTCTTGTATCCAAGGTGCAAGGACTTCTAGACTACATGGAGGAACATGGTTTGAGAGAAGACCCTAAGATACTCGACCTGGTAATTGAAAATTTATGCGTAGGAGGCAAAGTGAAAGAAGCGACAGAATTTTTCAATAGTTTAGAAGTAAAGACGGTAGAGAACTATTCTGCCATGATTAATGGGTACTGTGCAGCCAACCATACAAATGATGCATATGATCTTTTTGTTAATTTGTCCAAGAAGGGAGTTTCTATTAAAAAAAGTACTCTCTCTAGGTTAGTTAGTAGCCTTTGCATGGAAGATTCTAGCGATAGAGCTATTAAGGTGATAAAAAAACTTCCAATTATGGATGTCAAGGCTAATAAAATTGTGTACAATAATGTCATATCTTCCCTCTGTCGGGTGGGAAATATGAAGAGGGCTCAAAGTTTATTTGATTGTTTAGTCTGTGCTGGGTTAACTCCTGATCTCATCACTTACACAATGATGATAAATGGTTATTGCAAGATTAATTTCTTGAGAGAAGCTTATGAGCTTCTTTGTGATATGAAGAATCGAGGGAGGAAACCTGATATTGTTATCTATACAGTTCTGCTAGATGGTCTATTTAAAACCCGACTACAAGAGCTTTGCTCCTCAGTACATTTAAGGGGAGAAAAGCAAGAAATAGCTTTAGCTTCCACAATTTTTGATGAAATGAAAGACATGAAGATTACTCCAGACATTATCTGCTACACTGTACTGATTGATGGGTATTGTAAAATGAACAACCTTAGTGATGCTGTTGTCCTCTTTGAGGAAATGGTCGATCAAGGAATTGAGCCTGATACAGTGACTTATACTGCCCTACTGTCCGGCTGTTGCAGAAGTGGAGATACAGAGAAGGCCGTAACTCTAATGTCTGATATGCTGTCGAAAGGAATTCTCCCCAGTGAACAGTTTTCAACTCTGTTGCATCACAATACTCCAAAAACCAAGAAAATGCGACTATGAACACAAACACTTCACTGAATAACAGTGAGTAACATTAGTCTCGACCTTTTCCAATGAAGTACAATGCTTCATCCTTGTACATAATGCTGTTCACTTTATTTTATTTTCATTGGCTTGCTTCCTTCTTTATCTCCTCTCCTCCTTTCGAGTTATACAAGTTCTTATACTTTGCAGGCCCTGGATTCTCTATAACTGAAATCTACTTGAGCTATATGAAAGCCCTCTACTTTGACCCAAAGATGAAGCATTCAATTGTTTGGAGTTGTTGCAATGATGGGCTTAGAAATTAAAACCTACAATATCAAGGTTTTTACTTTGTTATTTTCCTTCGCTTCATGACTCATTCTTTCAAATTACTTTTTTATAATCCTAAACTCAAATATTACTTGGCAATATCAACAGCTTACTTGAAGTAATCTATGTGTAAGGACTTATTTGAAGTAGTCCTGAACTTGTGAATGATCTTGGTAATGGGGATTCTGTCCATTTTTTTATGCATTTATGGTACCAGTAACCATAATAGAGGATCGGTTAAAAGTTAAATCTCTCGAACGTTGAAATTATTGCTTTGCCTTGCAGTTTCTGTAGCAGTCTCCTCTGTTGCAGATATGGTACAGATGCTATCCAGAGCTGTAAGTTCCAAATGTTTTTTTTGTTTCCATTAATCATTAATGTTTACAACCTAATAGTTCTAACGATCCTAATGTCTTGATTCTGAACCTCAGATTTTCTTTTAAAAAAGGGCAACTGTAAATACCCAGAACTTTTGATGTTCTGGGAATGGAGAATCTGAGAAAGCTACTTTCAACTTATCACAGAACTCCAACTCATATCTCTTTTTGGCTTACCATATTGCTTGTTTTGATCATCAATATCATCATAAAGCTGCGAAGTTTTCACATTGGGGGGTTGACTTAAGGCTGAATTTAACGCCTAAGGTGTTGAATATTATGTCAAGTATTATTTCCTCTTGTTTGTTTGCAAGCATTAGCTTGGTTAAAGCTTGCTTCGGGTTATTTTAATAGGAGGGCTTAGATTGGAACTTGAGTTTGCAAGGAGATCAGGTGTCTTCTTTAAGCATCACTTTGAAACTCCTGAATGATGCAAGGTTTTTGCTTGTAAACCCACTGATCTGCCTACTGACCCCAAAATCAAATTGAGTTCTTTAGATGAAGATCTTTTGGAACCCCTCAGAAGATGTGTCATTCTGTTGTAGGCTTGTGGGTTGCTTATTAGGAAATCACTCTTGCAGTATTACAGACTGAGCCAGTTTGTTTCCGATCAATGTTAACCAAATTTTGATGCGACTTACTTTGTCATGTGGAACATGTGGGGATATCGTTGTTGAAAAGCCGTGTTATCCATTAAAAAAGCTTGTAGTTATTTTACCCCCCACCAAATAGAAGTCTTTTATCCACTATCCATTGTAATTATTTGTATGTTCGCTGGCCTTGTATTCTTTTATTTTTTCTCAATGAAAATTCAGTTTCATATTAGAAAAACAAAAAGCTACAGAATAATAATCTGAAAATTTCTTCCAGGAAATTTTCGTTCCTGCAATACTTCCAAGCTGTTGTATACAGCGTACTGCAGTTCAGGTGATGACTGAGTTGTTCCCGGGGTGCCTTAAAAAAGGAACCAAGGAGCTGAAATAGTGAGTCAAGCTGCACTTCATCTGTCTAAGATGCATTTGGAAAAGGGAAAACTGTGAAAAGTGAATTTGGGCTGTCTAAGAATATCTGTTACTTATTACAGCTGATGTTAGTTAAGCCTTTTGTGCTGTTTTATAAGCTTATAAAAGCATTCTTAACTTTTTTAGTACTTCATGTTAGGAAGAGGCAAGGTGCACAACAAAAGCCAGACGACCTGGGGTTCCTATTTCGGTATTGTGTGCAGTGAACCCGGTACAATGTGCCTAGACATCATTTGGGTACGTAGAGGGTCACACACAAATACTCCTTGAAATTGATTGATATGACAGATGGTTGCCAAATGATTCAATAATATTTCATGTAGGCTGGCGTTGCAATGGAAAACTGCATGACGGTGGTCTGTTCAATGGCAAGTTGACCACATCGAACAGGTTGATCACGAGTTCTACCAATCAATTTGTGAGTACTCTCTTTAAATCTTGGTAGTTTAGATATACAGTTTTGATTCATCTTGCTGGATTGGTAATATTAGTTCCCATCATAAGAACAATTATCTTTTCTTGGGTTCTTGTTGATTATGGTCTAAGCTTCGGTTAAACTCTTCTCGAAGATAAAGTAGCTGATATAACACGCATGTTCTTGCAAGCCCAACATGGAAATGCATTCATCATATGAGCCTTTGGAGAATTCTTACAACTTGGTTGGTCTCAATATCTTTATCACCATTCTTTTCTGGAATCGTGCAATGAGCTGTCTCGAAAAACGAATTGGTTTGAAATGAATCACATGGCTTTCAACTTGATACTAATGGACCATGTCGCATAGATGGAGCTCATATTTGCTGCAGATCAGAAGAGGTAACATATTGGTGCAGTTCTCGGGTTTTCATTTTGATTCTCGTACGAATCGTCGAAGGAGAGGCCAAACGTGCACCATGGTTACACGAAAAGAACAACTATCATTGCTCTGGACATCTTTATCCATGTATTATGCTTTTAGCTTAACACCAATTATGTTTTGTATTGTGTTTCATCGTTGTTGGCAAAAAGGACCACTTGGGATAAATAGATTTCTAAATTCAGCTGCATATTTCTTTTATTCCACTTCTTCCTTTATTCACTGTCATCTCAGCTTTTCCTTCGAGATCATCACTATTTCCTTTCCCGTTGGAGATGTATATAATATATATATATTAAAAGGTTGCCTTTGGAGATGTTCTGAACTTAAATATTTTATTAGTGCCTATGGATTAGTTGGAGTCGTATGAATAAAAAGAATTGTAATTGAATTTCTTTCTTTCTTTTTTTTAATCGAATATATCATACCAAGCTGGATTGGTCAATAAGACGATTTATGAGGTTAAAATTGTCAAATTTTTCGTTGAACGAGTTCGATCATATAAGAAGAAATGGTATGGTATAGTATGGTATGATATGTTTATTTTTTTAAAAAAGAAAATAGAATCAAAAGGAGAAGAAAGTTCAATTATGGGCCAAAAACAAACGGGTGAATTTACTGTTATAGCCTCCAAAGTCCCAACGGCTACTTTCTTGTGACCGTTTCCAAATCCCTCGATTCAAAAAAATCCTGAAACAGCTACAACTATACTGCATTTGACACTCGACAAGGACCCTCGAAAATCTCTTTACAAAAACACCCACCAACAACACAAAGATTACTTCATCTTCTTCTTCTCCTCACTGTTCTAAGAATTTCAGACCAGAAAGAAAAAAAAAATGGTGTATTCTTACACACCCACTTACTATTCTTCTCTTCACGATTCAATCACCTCTCTCTGCAAGTCCATTCTTCCCTTCAGCTTCAAGAAACGGTGCTTGCCGGCGGCGGATCAGAAGCTGGCGAAGCTCCAGTCTGATAACCTCAAATGGCAGCAAGATTCCTTCCACCAGATGCTCAAATTAATGGGTCTCCACAATGAAGGTATTCTTGCTGAAAATGAAGTTTCAGATTTCAGAACCCATTTGCTCGATACTCTGATCGCTTCACCGCCGGAACAAGAACACCAAGTTATATTGAGAGATAAGCTGTTGTTCTTGCAGGTTCGTAGCTCATAATGCTCTGTTTTTATGTGTGTGCTCTGTTTTAGAAACTAAATCACATTTAAAAAGAAAAATTGTATGCTTGTTTTGATCAGGAGCTTCTATATGCGAAATGCATAACAACAGATGAGTATCACTCTTCGAAGAGGCCTCTGCTTCAGAGATTAGCAGTTCAAGGAGCTGAAATTGAGGCCAGAGATGTGATTGTAGCTGACCCAAAAGAGAATTCGAAAGAGATTTTAGAAGAAGAATGGTCGATTATTGACTTGAGAGATGAAAATTCTTCACTAAAATCGAACTCAAATTCGAAGAACAGATCAAAGGTTATGTTGGGTATGAAACAGATCAGAGGAGCTGCGTCCGTTTTTAGCTTCGCGTCATCACAAAAAACAGAGAGGAACAGAAAAGAGAAAAGTATTTTTGAATCTGAAAATCTGTGTAATATCAGTGATACCCATTCGATTCTGATGTCGGAAAGTTCATCAAACAAGGAGATGAGTGAAGAAAAGGCAAAACGACGACCCTTTAAAGCTCTGTTTCAGGGCGGCAATGGCGGCGGTGGAAATTATGGTCCAGATTATGAAGAACGGATGAACAAATCTGGAAAAAAACAATGGGGTTTCAATGGGCTGAAGAAATGGAAACGAGACCAAACAGAGGATGAGACAGCTCCATTGCCACTCCATGAAAGATCCGACAGTGAAGCTTTTTGGGGTTCTTCAAATTCAGCTCAGCTCATAACGAGTCCAATTGGGGAGGGGCCTAACACTAAAATGATGAAAATGAAGTTGAATTCAAATGGGTCTCCATCGGATTTCTTTATCGACAAGGTAATGAACTGCTTCAATGGCGTTGGTCTGTCTGTAAATTTCAAGTTTTTGATTCTGTTTATCGTGTTCTAATTTTATTTGAAGGTCTTAAGCGAGAACATAAAGAAAGAGCTTTCACGAATTCAAACAGAGCTGAACGACACAAATCCAAACCTTAAATTCTCGTAAGATCTTCGAAGTTCATTTTTGCTGTCACTTTCCTCTGTTTTTGTTCTTCTTTTAAATCGTTTCAAATTTCAGGGATGATCAAATTGAGGCAATTTCCACCAGGCTTCCGATCGACAAAGCCGACCTCAAGAACTTCTTCCCAAAGTAAGTTCCAGCCTTCATTTCATATGTTCATGGTGCGATCATGGTGTGATCAAAGGCAGTATTTTGATGAACTGTTTTTTTTTTTTTTTTTCCTCATTAGATCATGGTGCGATCGTTATGGGGATGTAGTAATTGATGTGGTGAAGAAAGAGTTCAAGGACCATGTGGGAGAGATGGAGAATATGAGAAATGCAGCGAGCGAGAAACGACGTAATAGCAGCAATTCGATGCGATGGACGACGTTTGAAGATGACGAGAACTGCCATCCAAATCTCTTCAACAACATAAACGACTCGATGAGATCAGATCCTGTCTATGAGAATCCATTTTGGAGACCAAGCACTGGTCTTTCAATGCTCAAGTAGTTGTTGTTCTAAGCAAAGACAGCTGACATTGCTGTCTCCCTGTCTTGGTTATCTGTTATCGACACAGTTCCTTCATTCGGTGTCATTCCCACCCTATTGTACAAGTGTTTGAATCATTCAAACCAAACTGCTTGTTCTAGATATATATATTCATTCAAATTCTTCTGAAACTGCTATACAATATGAATGCCTTGCAAAATCAAAACATGGGGATCCAATTAATCCCCAAGTATTAACAGGAAAAAACATGATAATGAATGAGTGTTCTGTTTTTGCTATACAATGCCATCAAATTGTTGGAATTTCGGGGTTTGAAACCGAACATTCATCATTCGAGCCTGCACGAACATCCCCTCTACAAAGCGGGCATACTCTGTTAAAACACAGCGATATCAGGAGATGAGTTGTGAATAAAACGATTGCAGGACATAATAAAGAGAGAGCAGTGATTGTCGTGTAACATACCCGTGAATCTCCTTCAACCATTTATCGACACACAACATATGGTACTCGTGTCGGCAAGGAAGGACTCTTATTTTATCGCCCTCTTCGTATTCAGCCAGGCAAATGTAGCATCTAACCAATTTTTGTAACACAATCCCAAATTAGAAACTAAACAAGTAATAAGCAAGTAAAACCATGGACTCAGCCAGCCAGGCAAATGTATTTAGTTAATGGAAAGAGGAAGCCTACTGCTCAATTTCGTCCCCTCCATTAGTCGTCTTTTCGTGGTTCTTCAGGGGAAAAGAGTCGACAACTGATTCTGGTGCCGGGAGTGAAACCATGGAGAGGGCAAGAGAAACAGGCTGACCATGAATTTCATCCAACACCTTCAAATACACCGAGAAGAAGATGTGAGATCATTGTTCAAATACAGCAATAAAACTCCGAAAAGTGGGCGATGCTTAAGTGCAAAAATGTTTATCAGAAATATTCAGTGGCATAGTGTAACAATCCAAGCTCACCACTAGCAGATATTGTCCGCTTTGGCCTGTTACATTACCATCAGCTTGACGGTTTTAAAATGTGTTTACTAGGGAGAGGTTTCCACACCCTTATACGGAATGCTTTGTACCCCTCTCCAACCGATGTCGGATCTCACAATCTATCCCCCTTGGGGTCCTATAGCCTCCTCGCCGGCACACCGTCCGTTGTCTGGCGCTGATACCATTTATAACCGCCCAAGGCCACTGCTAGCAGATATTGTCCGCTTTAGCTCATTATGTATCACCCTTAGCCTCACTGTTTTAAAACACGTCTACTAGGGAGAGGTATCCACACCCTTATAAGGAATGTTTTGCTTCCCTCTCCAACCAAAGTGGGATCTCATACATAGAGTTCCAATTAAAGTGAACTTTAAACAGTAATGTATGGTTTACTTGCTTAACACAAATATCATCTTAAAATTTAAAGAATTGAACAGGGGAAAACTACCTCAAATAATGCTTCAGCAAGCATGATTATCCGCGATATGCTTGCACGGGTACTCGAGTGTTCTATCCTTGAGAAGGAGTCACACGAGCAAGCACCATTAGAGTGAATGCCTGACGGGCAAGATAAATTCTGCCGACTGTTTTCGCTGAGACTACTACGGAGTCTTTCCCATATCTGCACCTATTTGAGAAGCAATCATGAATAAACAGAACAAGGTTCAATTACTACTTAAAAGGAAAATATAGAACATTAAGAGTGTAACCTGGGATCTTGAGTCTCTTTGTTGTTCATTCAAGATGTGAATTCTTCTGGGAAAATGTCTTGAATCGCCACGCACTTCATCATCGATAAAATCACCACTTATATCGAGGAGCCACCGGTCTGGATCTCCTGTTGTACTTATGTTATTAGGAGGGAAAAGAAACGGAGATTCACTATGTCTTCTAAAACTACGTCTTGAAAAGGCATCCCAAAACAGTCTTCTGCTATTCCTTCTGATCATAAGCGAATTTGCATCAATACTACTTGTAGATAAAACGTTGGAAGAAATACCGACCATATCGACATGAGGCATACCCACATCTCCTGGCTCCCTATCATCAGACACAAAAGTGTCGAAACTCGAGGGTACCTCTCGTGAAGATTCATCTTCAAGGGATTGAAAAGTTAACGGAAGATCCAAATCAGGAGAAGATTCCGACTCCGGGTTCTGGTTGGCTGTTCCCTCATCCTCTTGAACGTAAACTGTCAGCTCGTTCGAACACAAGTCTCCAACCTCTTGAGTAGTCGAGCTGCTTGCCACACACATGACCTTGGTGCAGACTGGAGATACACCCTTGTCCACTGAACTATCAATACCATTTACTGCATCCTCGTTAGCCAGAATATTTACAGATACTGGTTCCGAAGAACGATCTCTATGTCTACGAGATTCATCATGACTGTAATCAGCACTAATCTGGTGAAGGGGAGCTAATTCCTTGTTTTGAGACAAACACTTCCCATGATCATTAATATCAATATTAGAATCATTTACAGCACATTGCTCCTCACTGACTACAATGCTGTTCTCGTGCGAGGCCTCGGAATAAGCGCTTGCGCTAGGAAGTCCTATTCTTATAGATCCATTTGTGGGGAGCTGAACTTCATCAATGATGTGATGACAATGTTGATGTTCTGTCGGATGGACAAGAAATTGAGCTGTAGAATCTTCCATCTATTAAAATATGTCAGCTTAAGACTTAATCCGTCATCTAAACTTGTTAAAACTTGCAAAACTAGAGCAAAAGACAAACTTCATTTTGAGAGATCAAGACAACTTAGATGATTAGAAACTAATAATAATTGAGAGAACAAAAGATTTCTACGAAGATATTGCCACCAAGATGAACAATATAAGCATAGCTAGCTAAAACATCATCCCACTCACAAGCAAAACAAACAGCAAACAGACACAAACATATCACAAAAGCTACAGAATCGGACCTAATTTATGAGAGATACACCGACACCGATCTTCTTCACTTGGAAGATCAAAACTCATCCAAAATCCCCCAAAATGCAACACCAGAGCTTCAAGCAACTAAAAAGCACACCAAACGGACACAGGACTTCAACCAAGAGGTCAACCTTTGAAATGAAGATAGTCAATCTCAGATTATCCAAACAAGATTTCCAAGAACGAAATAGATTCAAGTTCACGAAGAATCGCAAGAAATGGGAGAAAGAGTAAACAAGAGAGAACAAAAGATTCGATGATGATAATAAAAACAATAAGATTAGAGGAAGAAAAACAACCTGATGAATCGCGCGAGAAGAGGAAGCACCACAGAAGAGAGAGCAGAATTTGGAGCGGTTGGTGCGGTAATCTCGGGAGCGAGAAGGGCGCGACCCCAGACGACTACAACTCGAACCCATTAGGGATTTGGATAAGAAGCGATGATCCGTATGGATGAAGACGACAGAAATTTGAAGAACACGAAATTCAATTCAGACCTCTCTGATTCCAAATTCAATCGAAAACCAATAATTCGATTGAGGGGAATGGGAAGTTCATGGTATAGCAATAATTCCTTTCATTTTTTGAAACTTTATTATAATATTATCCATACCTTTTTGTACTTCTAAAAGGCTGGCTTCGAAGGTTTCTTCCCATTAAAAATGGAGTTCAGAGGTGTCATGTCGTCATAGCTCTCGACATCGAGCTTTTGGAGGAAACCTTCGTTGCTATGGCTGTGGACGTGAAGAAATTATGACTATTTTATTTTTTTATTTTTTATTTGAAATTCGACATAAAAATTAAATGTGTGTTTTGAGAAAAATAATAAAGCTACCAAAAAAAATTGTGAAAAATAAAAAAATAAAAAAGTTGTAAATCCGAAGCAATCGTTCCGGTCAAAGACTTACAACCCGTAATGTCTTAGTTCATTCTTTCCTCTTTCCCGGAAATTTCAGTGTCTGATTTAGGGTTGTATTCTTTTCTTCTTGGATCTTGAATCCAGTCAATTTTTTGAATCAGACGCTATAATCTCTGTACTTCTTTTTGTTCTTCGCAGCTGGGAGAGAGGGAAGGTTCAATTATTTGTAGAGTTTCTTGGCATTTTCTTTTTCTTCTCTTTTGTACAGATTGCATAGGTTTTGCAGCAATCGTACAACGATCTTGATTGATCTTCGGTTTTCAGTTGCTTAGGGTTTTCGTTTTGTTCTTCTTTTATGTTACTGTGATTATCTTCACGGAATGGTTACGATGCAATCCAATCGCTCCGTTGCTCCAGCGATTGATTTGATCCCAAATCTTAAACCTCCGCACAAGAGTTTAGGTTTTCACAGAATCTTAGTTCTGATCATCACGTTCTTAGCGTATGCGTCATTCCACGCCTCGAGAAAACCTCCGAGCATTGTTAAGAGTGTACTTGGACCAACAATTCCGGTAAACTCTTCGAGCATTTTGCTGAATTCGACTTTAATTGAATCTGATTTGGCCTCAAATGGAACTGGTTGGGCTCCTTTTAATGGCCCTGATGGCACACAGTTGCTCGGGAAGCTTGATCTTGCGTTTCTTTCTGCATATTCTATTGGAATGTATTTTGCAGGGCATGTTGGTGACCGTATTGACTTGAGATTGTTTCTTGTTTTTGGGATGATGGGTAGTGGTGTTTGTACGATACTGTTCGGGCTGGGATATTGGTTGAATCTTCATTTCTTGTGGTTTTTCGTTAGCGTTCAGATCGTGTGTGGTCTGCTTCAGTCAATTGGATGGCCATGTGTGGTGGCAGTTGTAGGCAATTGGTTTGGGAAAGCCAAGAGGGGGCTAATTATGGGTATCTGGAATTCACATACTTCTGTTGGAAACATCATTGGGTCGATTATAGCTTCTGGGATTTTGGAACTTGGATGGGGTTGGTCGTTTGTGGTGCCTGGAGCTCTTGTGATTTTCGTTGGCATTTTGGTGTTCTTGTTTCTGGTTGTAAGTCCAGAAGACATTGGATTTGGAACCTCTGCTAATGAGATTGAATTGAACGCAGAGGTCAGTCCAGTTGAAAAACTGGAGAACACAGAGTCAGAGGTGGCTGTGCTGCTTGAAGATGAGCATTTGGATTCTATGGCTGCTATTGGTTTCTTAGAGGCATGGCGATTGCCGGGTGTTGCACCATTTGCCTTTTGTCTCTTCTTTTCGAAGCTTGTCGCTTATACTTTTCTCTACTGGCTGCCATTTTACATCAGGCACACAGGTAGGTACCTGTTTCTTATTGCTAAGGAATGTTAATATCCTTTGAATCTTTTTAGTTAGAATGAATGTGGAACGGGCAAAGCCTACCACCCGTAGATATTGTCTTTCTTTGAGCTTTCTCTTTTGGGCTTCCCCTCGAGGTTTTTAAAACTCGTTTGCTAGAGATAGGTTTCCACATCCTTATAAAAATGTTTCGTTCTCCTCCTCGACCGATGTGGGATCTCACAATCCAATCCCCTTTCGAGGTTCAGCGTCCTCGTTGGCACTCGTTCTTTTCTCCAATCAATGTAAGGCCCCCCAATCCACCCTCGTTCGAGGTGCTGCATCCTTGCTGGCACACCACCTCGTGTCCACCCCTTTGAGGTTCAACCTTCTCGTGACACATTGTCCACTGTCTTGCTTTGATACCATTTATAACGGCCCAACCCACCACTAGCCGATATTGTCATCTTTGGACTTTCCATTTCGAGCTTTCCCTCAAGGTCTTAAAACATGTCTATTAGGAGGGAGGTTTCCATACCTTTATTGGTTGGGGAGGAGAACGAAACATTCTTTATACGGGTGTGAAAACTTTTCTCTAGCAGATGCGTTTTAAAAACCTTGAAAAGAAGCTTTATAGGGAAAGTCCGACTGACATAAATAGGTTCAGAATTATGTAGAAATCATGTTCTAAATGTAGTTTTGAAGTCTGAATTGCTGACAACAGTTTTTCTTTGTTGTGATAGCTGTTGCTGGTGTGCTTTTATCTGATAAAACGGCCGGCATCCTCTCAACCATTTTCGACATTGGAGGAGTCTGTGGTGGAATATTAGCAGGATTAATATCTGATTTGATCGATGCCCGTGCAGTTACATCAGTAACGTTCCTGCTGCTCTCGATTCCTGCTCTAGTTCTCTACCGTGCTTTCGGGAGCATTTCCACAGTCACCAACACCTGCTTGATGTTTCTTTCGGGATTACTTGTCAATGGTCCATACTCACTCATTACAACAGCGGTTGCTGCTGATCTCGGTACTCAGAGTTTGATTGGAGGGAATTCCCGCGCTTTAGCAACCGTGACCGCGATCATAGATGGCACGGGATCTGTTGGGGCAGCCCTTGGCCCTCTAATGGCAGGATATGTTTCTAGAAGAGGATGGAACAGTGTCTTCTTCATGTTGATTCTTTCCATCTTCTTCGCGGCTCTCTTCTTGGTTCGCTTAGTAAAAACTGAGATCAAAGAAAAGTTAAACGAAGGACGATGGTTTTCTAATACGCAGACGTCAACAGTTTAGAGCAGTAGATTTCTGCTAGAAAGGAGTTTTGAAAGGTATTTGTACATCTTTGTATCCTATTCTTTTCTATTCATTAGAAAGATTCATGTACCATACACAGTAATTGAGCGTAGAATACAACAAATTTATTGTATTATGTTGAAAAGTTATTCATTCATCAACAATAAGCTATGCAAAGTTAAGAACAGGCAATTACAAGGTTACCAACTCTATTTTCGAGAAGCAAATATGGATACAATTGTGAGAGTTCCATAAGAGAATACAATACCAGCTCTCGATTCGATTCAAAGGATCGATCGAAGCAGAGTTTCGAGCTCAGTCTCGTCTTTCATGGTGGGACAACTGGATGTTGATCTATCAAGTCAAAAAGTTCATCTCCAATCCCAAACCCAAGCATCCTAGCCATATTAGCTGTCTTCAATCTTGGCTTTGGAATGTCATGTTTCTTCAACCATGAATACACTATAAAAACTTTCTTCATCACAAACAACTCCAAGGCCTCAGGATTGAACACAATTCCCATTCTCATACTAATCTGCAACGAAAAAGATTCCAAATGAGTCCATGTTAATAAGAACATTTTCTTAGCATTCCATCACTACCATCACCTGGTGAGGGACGAGCATGGCTGCATAGCGAGCGAGCTCTCCCGCTCTCCAGTCCAGTAAAACCGGTAGCCATGGATACTCTGAATCAAGCCTCACAAACCACAGTCTTATGTCGGGGTATTCAGATAATTCACGACGATCGTGAGGATCTTCTCGGGTATAATTGATTGTAAAACCAATTGTACGCTCAAGAAATTGTTTTGGCTCAGCTGTAACAATACTAGGAAAGAGAACTCATCAGGGATCACAGAACTCATTTCAAAACAAATTTACAACCCAAAACTTACTAGCTAAAGGAGAGATTATTCCAGTTGTTTTCTGAAATGAGGACAAGTCTAGGTGACGAATTACATCGTTATCTATGACCACGTCGAACCGACCTTCAGTGGGTGGCATTGGAGGTGAAACTTTAGGAGAATCTGTTTTTAACAATCAGTTCAAACTCATCAAAATTTGAAGAACTCCCCAACATATCACCACCACAATTGTCCTTCCTTTTCTTTAGTTTCCATACCATTAAATCTGCCTAATAGTTCATATTTTCCTTTTCTCCGAAGGCAGCAAATGAATTCGAGTATCATCATCCAGAAAATGGAAGCGAAGAACCAAAGAACAGAGCAATATTCGAATGACTAACTATAAACCTAACCAAATAATTGACCCATGCAATTCATTCAACGCTCATGGATTGAAAAAAAAAAATCCCCCTATCTATCTCTGGAATGCACAAACCGAAATAGGTACAGAACAAATCAGAAATTGAATCAGAATAAATTCGAGGATTTACCATCTTCATCGTCTTGCAAAGAGAGATCAAATTTTCCGGATGGATTAAAGGCAACCGAGGCGGATACTTGTCGTCGCTGCCGAGAAGAGCTGAAAATAGAGCAAGAAGGCGAAGAATCTGAGATAGGTCTGCAGAAACTCCATGAAATGGGCGAGCGAGATGGATGATTAAAGGAAGGAGAAAGTGGAAGCAAAGGTTTAATGGCGGGAGTGGACATGGAGACGACGATAAGGCGTGAAAAAATACCAACGGTGGGAGGCGGAGGCGTCCGCCTGGTTTATCTTCTCGCTGATCTTCCTCCATCTTGTTCTACTTATCCAATTTAGCTTCAAATTTCAATTCCTTTCTTTTATTAAATTTATTAATTAAATTATCAATTTTATATTTAATACATCCCTTTAAACTTTTAAAAATTAATTAACATATTAGAAATTAATATTGAAATGGGCCCTCATTTCTCTGGGCCAGTATGTTGAAATAGCTGCTAGTAAATTGGGCCCGTCCGGCCCAATATGTAATTTTAGTTATATTTATTTTTAAAATATACTTTTTTTTTTGTAATATTTTATTTAAATAATTTTAAGACTTTGAACTTCAACTTGTGGTTTTAAATTAGGTTTAAATCCATAAATATTAAGTTGAAAAATACTTTCCTTTGACTTTTAATGGAAAAAATGCTAAATTCATGATAATATTTATTTTAATTAATTAAACTATGTTCAAATTGGTATGTCTTGTCAACCCTCCCTACAAAACGACTTTAGAGGAGAATAGTTAAATTAACACGTTATTTGAAATTGATTGATTAATACGTTCATCGAAATTGAATTCTCACTTATTATTTAAAAATTTTGATTTTAATGTATTTATGTTTGAAATAGATTAAAAATTTAAAAATAACTTTTAAAACAAAACCATGGGCTAAATATTCTCCTTAAACTATAAAAATATTTTTTAAAATATATTTTTAATTTTAATTTTAAAAAAATGGACGTGCTTTTGACTTTTAAGTGAATGGAAAATAAAGTTATAATATTAATAATAGCCATTTATGTCAATGTGTAATTAATTACTATTATCTACACCTATGAATACCCAAATAAAAATTAAAATTAATTATTTTAAATTTTGAATTTTTTGAAGGATGGTTGTGAAGACTTTTATTGAAATTTCTTATATTATTATTATTATTATTATTATTATTATTTTATTGTATGGTTGAAAATCTATGGGAAGGAAGAAAATTAAATTTCAAACCATCCTATCTTATTAAAGAAAAACATGAAATTTACAATATTGACTGAAACAGCTTTTAAATTATCCTAATACTTTTAAAATTCAAATTAGAGGTTTTAATTTGTAAATTTTCATATTTAAATTTTAATATTAAAAAACAGTCGATAAATTTTTAAAATAAATTCGAGCTATGATTAAATTTTAATACTTGAAATAGATAATCTCGATGTTCCTAATTCGAAATTTCCATGGAGTGAAACAAAGAGGAATAGGACATTTCATCTCCATCTCTGCACTCCTATTTTAATAAATTTTAATAAAAATTTTCATTTATTTTTCGAGATTCTTATGAGAAATTTGCAGATATCGAATTCGTATGACTATTTTTTCCCTAATATTTTATAACCAAAAAAAATATAAGATAACATTCGTGGACAAAAAATATAAACCCGACCCCAACCTCATTTAACTAATGGGAAAAAATCTCTCCTCACTCGTTTTCTCGTTTTTCTATTTAAATGAGGATTTTCACCGTTCTAAAGATAAAAGTTCCCCCGAAGTCCAACCCCTACAGATTAAATAAATATCTTACTCCTAATATCAATTAAATAAGCTATTTTTCTCTCTCGGTACTGCCACATCATCCTTTCCTCGTCCTAACACGTTTGGTACCTCAAACCATTCCCATAATAATAATATTTAAAAAAAAATTGATATATAATATGAACTTATATTATATGCTAAACACTTATATTATAGAATAAATAATATATCATAAAACTATTATTTATTTTGTTTATGCATTTATTTACTTTTTTAAATTCTAAAATTGGAAAGAAATTATAACTTGAACGTAACTGAATATATTTATAAATAAATAAAAATGACAACAAAAACGGTTGAAAACTTAGTAGAGAAGCATAAAAGTCGGTGCACGAGAAAGGACACGTCACCACCCATAACAAATCGCACGGTTTATACGCGGGTTGGGTTTGAACGGAACGGACAGCCGTTTTATTTCGGAAGTGGGTCCCGCCGCCAGATTGCTTACCGGTTTATATAATTTAATTAATTAGATTATGACACGTGTCTGTTATCCTAGCTGGAAGCTGAACGGGTTGGAATTGGAATTTCCTTATGAAGTTTGTCAACAAACTCAGGAGACTTAAGGAAAAAACATATAATCCCTTTGTACTTCGTTCTTCCTTTTTACCATTTTATCCTTCCCCCAACGTTATCCTTTTTTTTCACTCATTTAAGATATGAGGATAAAAATGGAAATAGATTGGTCGTGAGGATCAAGACGGCGAAGGCTTACTGTCTCGATCAAATTTAAATAGGTGGTAGGGACGCTTTCCTCGTCTCGATTAAAATGAAATAGGTAGTGGGGATCATGACGCGGAAGGCTTACCCATCCCAATCAAATTGAAATAGGTAGTGGGGATTAGGACACAGAAGACTTACCCGTCCTCCTGATGCTTCCCACAAGCATCTCGAACTATATGGTAACTAAAATTTAAAAATTTAAAAATAAATATGGGTGGGAACCGAGGATATTTTGGGAATAAGGGAGAATTTTAAAAATATAAAGAATGGCATATTCTTCATTTCACCCTCAAAACATCAGCTTGCAGACGCCATAGATCTCTCCGAGCTGTCGGAATCAGAACAAAGCCGGCAACTTTCAGTAATCCGGCGAAGCCAAATCGACCATACTCCTATTATGCAAGCTTTCAGATCAGCTCTATTTACTTTGCCTTTTCTCTTTCTTCTCTTCCGTTCTCCTGCCGCCGCCGCCGCCGGTTCTGACCTTTCTCCACGCTTCCATGGTACTCTGTTTTCCTCTGTTTCTCCCTTTTTGATCTTCTTGACTCCGTTTTGACTCCCTCTGTTTTTGTTTTTTGTGGGGTTGGAGCAGTTGGTCGGGGAGAGTTCGCTCCGGCGATGGGGAGGAATCTGGCGGAAGCCGCCGTCGGAAATTCGTCGCTGATTTTAGCCAAATCTAGAACGCATAGAAAAGACCCACTTAACAATTTTGCGCGCTATACAGGGGGTTGGAATATCACAAATAAGCATTACTGGGCTGTGAGTTTCTTCCCAATCTACCTCTGTTTCATGTCTCTGTTCTTCTCATCATTGTCTTGTTCTGCAGTCTGTCGCCTACACAGCAGCTCCCTTCTTCACCATCGCCGGAATTTGGTTCATCGTCTTTGGGTTATGTTTAATGTTCATCTGCCTCTGTTATTGCTGCTTTCCAAGGGAGCCTTACGGCTATTCCCGGCTGGCTTATGCTCTGTCTCTCATATTTCTCATCCTCTTCACCATTGCAGCAATGTAAAATCTCGCCCCATTTCTCTGTCTTTCTCGCCCGGTTCAAATTTTTGAAACTCCTAATGTTTGGTTTTCAGTGTTGGGTGTGTTGTTTTGTACACGGGACAGGGGAGGTTCCACAGCATCACGACAAGAACACTGGACTATGTAGTGAGCCAAGCTGATGACACTGTCGTTAATCTTCGAAATGTTTCGGATTACCTTAAAGCAGCTAAGAAGATCGGAGTTGCATCAGCAGTTCTTCCTGGTCATGTCCAAAACAAAATCGATGATATTGAGAAAAAGCTAAACTCTTCTGCTGCGATTCTGTCTGAAAAGACAGGATCTAATTCAAAGGATATCCAATACGTTCTCGATCATGTGTAAGTTTAATCCCTTTTAGCTTTATGTTCTTGCTTGTTTGAGCTTTAATGTTTTGCACTGCAGGAGGCTTGCTCTTATAATTCTGGCGGCTGTTATGCTCCTTCTGGCGTTTCTTGGATTCTGTAAGTGTTTTATATGTTTCTCGTTACAAATGGATCAAACCCATTTGAGATCTCATGGGTTCGTGTTTGTTCTTGTCATTTCTTGCAGTGTTTTCCATCTTTGGGATGCAATCTCTGGTATACTTGTAAGTTCATATCTCAGATTATACCGATAAGTTTAAATATTGTGTAGATTAAGAATCACGAACCTCTACAATGATATGATATTGTCTAATGTGGAACTCCCTCCCAACAATTCTCAGCTCGAACAAAGTACATCTTAGAGCCTCAGGGAGGCCTATGGAGCCCTCAAATAACCTCCCCTCAATGAGTCTCGACTCCTTCTCTGGAGTTCTTGAATAAAGTACACCTTAGAGCCTCAGGGAGGCTTATGGAGCCCTCGAATAACCTCCCGTCAATGAGTCTCGACTCCTTCTCTGGAGTTCTTGAACAAAGTACACCCTTTGTTCGACACTTGAGTCAATTTTGACTACTTCTTCGAGGCTCACAACTTCTTTGTGTGATACTTCAGGATTCTATTGACATTGCTAATTTGAGGGCATGACTCTGATACCATATTAAGAATCACGAACAATTACTTTAATATCATGTTAGGAATCACAAACTATGACTCTGATACTATGTTAGGAATCACGAACTATGACTCTGATACCATGTTAGGAATCACGAACCATGGCCCTAATATCATGTTAGGAATTACGAACCTCCACAATGGAATGATATTGTTGTATAAACTCTCATGGCTTTGATTTGGACTTCTCTAAAAGGTCTCGTACCAATGGATATGTATTTCTTAGTTATAAACTCATGATCATTCCCTAACCATCCTCAACGTGACAAAGACTTGGTTTCCTAATGTCTACAGCTTCGTGATCATTGGTTGGATTCTCGTTGCGGGCACGTTCGTTTTGTGCGGTGTTTTTCTTCTCCTCCACAAGTAAGTTTTCTCCATCTCTATCTCCGTCTCCTATTTCACACAGGACACTTACATGGTTTCTCAAAACTAGTGTCGTAGCAGATACATGTGTATCAATGGAAGAATGGGTGCAAAACCCAACAGCCCATACAGCACTGGATGATATCCTACCATGTGTAGACAACGCCACAGCTCAAGAGACACTCACACAATCAAAGACAGTGGTATATGGACTCGTTTCAGTGGTTAACGAGCTCATCACTGGAATCGCTAACAACAACATCCCACAAAGTGTCGGACCGCCCGCCTATTTCAACCAATCTGGTCCATCAATCCCCACACTCTGCAACCCATTTCATCC